GGAAGGGAAGGGAAGGGAAGGGAAGGGAAGGGAAGGGAAGGGAAGGGAAGGGAAGGGAAAAGGGGAAAAGGGGAAAAGGGGAAAAAAAGGGGAAAAGGGGAAAAGGGGAAAAGGGGAAAAGGGGAAAAGGGGAAAAAAGAAAAAATAAAAGAAAAACCATACCAAACAGAAACCAAAGAAAAAAAATCCCAGAACCATATATTACCATGAGCCATTGCTGCAAAATGTGGGTGTTCAGCACCTGGCAGCCTATTTTCTGAGGCTATACAGCAGCACAGGGCAGGGTTGGCTCCAGAGCCACTTGAAGAGAAGTGTCAGGACCAGGCTGCTCTAAAAAAAAGGGAGAAGAGAAAGGAGAAAATGCCGAGGAAGAATGGCAGGGCGTCTAACACTTTGCATCTAATGCCTCCACATGGCTGCAAGTGCCGTGGCAATTTGGCCCCGCTAACAGGGATGGAGGGATGTTGGTAACATATTGCTTCCTTGTCAAATGTCTCACTGGTTTTGCAGCCAAGTCTCCTGCCAGCGAGGCCGCAGCAGCGCCTCTCCTCTACTTTCATATGCAAAGAGGTTGTTAACTCAATTGCCAATAAAATCCTAGTGGGTGGAGAGGAGGACATCTGCCTGTCTAGTCCTGCACTTGCCAACGTGGTTCTTTTATTCCTCCAGAAGCCGCGAGCTCCTACTCGAGCTGGTATTTTGACAAGCATTTCTGTTTTCTTGACACAATGGGCAAAGTGGGCACAGATCTTGCGTGCCACTCGTAATATGTTTTCGGTGCCGTGATTTGCATCCTTCTCCTGGAGGGACGCCTGGCACGGCGCGGAGCGGAGCGAGCAGCTTGGACAGTGGGTTTAGTCTGACATGTGAATGTGCCGCTTAATTTTGTGTAATTGCGTTAGGAGAGTGTGAGGAGGAGGAGGCCTCGCAGGCAGTGAGGCTCTGAGGGGTCCGGGCTGGGGGCTGGGGGTGAGGGAAGAGGCTTTGGAGGAGGGATAATACTGAGGGAGAGGAGTTGTGGTCGGGAATTTCGTGGAACGGCCGATGACCGTCAGTGTTAATGGCACAGCTCTTGGCTGCTGCGACCCCAGGGCCCAACTGAGCAACCCTGCAGCCCCTTAAGGAGGCTCCTCCAGGGCAAAGGGGGCTGATGGGGCATCTGTGCTCTTGGCACAGCTGCAAATCCACCCTCAAGTGAAATGGCAGCTGAAAATGGAAGCTACCAAGTCATTAGAGGTGGCAGCCCAGTCACCAGGAGTGGGGCGGGTGGGCTTCACCCCCCAGCACTCCTGGCCAGACAACATGATCTCTCCCAGTCCTTTCCAGGCCTGAATTTTGGGTGATCTCTGCTTTCACAGCTGAGGATAAGCACCTTTGTAACGGTGTGATGTGCTTGTACCTGCAGGAGGAGGCCGAGCAGCCGGAGGGATTTCTGTGGGAAAGGTTTAGGCACACCAGACTGTACAGATGGCCAGAGCCAGAGTCTCTCAGGTATCACACAGGGCACAGTCAGCTCTCCTCCATCCTCATCCACGCCCCACGTGCCAACCCTGCTGCCAAGCCTCATAAATCATCCATCGGCTCTCCGAGCGCGGCTCGGCGCAGGGGGGTGGGAGGACTCTCCAACTGCACGGGCCAACGGCTGCCCAAGGGCACAGCCAGCACTGCTGCTCTGCCCCCAGCCCCAAAAACAGAGCCCTCCCCTCGGCACGGCCACCCAGCTAAAGGACAGCTAATTTCATGCCTTATAAACCAGATTCCCTTCAGCACAAAAATATAACAGAGAACTTTCTTATCTCTCTGGGGAATGTCTTGAGACTCGAGCTGGTTTATTATCTGGGTTAGTCTGACATCTGAGAGGAGAAGATTGTGATCTGGAATCTGGAATGGGAAGGGGGTTACTCAGTGTTGTTTCCTACGTTCATAAATAAATGACCAAGAAGAGATACATGTCACTCTGTTTTCATTTACTGGGCTGGAGGTTCATCTTTAGAACAACAGATCAGGAGTTTATTGTCTTATTAAATATCTGGAGGCTGTTAATAAGGTGCTGTGTTACTTTGACCATCTTACCATTCTCTAATTTGATTATCCAGTCGTTCTGGTTCCTAATTGATAATTAATTTGAATAATGTGCAAAGAATTGAATGATGGAAGAGAGAAAGGGAAACAGATGGTTGGTCCATGCAGATAGAAAACATTTAACAGGGGGAAAAAAGTATCGTATTTGGAGCATAACAATATACTTTGTTCATCTCTAGGAAGAGACCATGGCATATGTTGTGGCTCGTGTCTTCAAACTTCTGCCCTGGTAAGAGAAAGGAAGGGAAAGATATCGACACTGTGGCACAGAAAGGTGGATGGCAAAACATGTGAGGACTTGGGAGCCGGCAGATATGAAATCTGGCATCATCTTCACTGGAAAAGAGGGATCCAGGCCATGTCATTTGTTGGAGGTCGTGTTGGTGTGGACAACCTTAAATTCAAGTTCTCCTTTAATGTGCAAAACAGTTGAAGGCAGAGAGATATAAAGCTGCAGCATAAGGGGACTCTAAGGGTTGTTTGGAATAGATCTGTGCATTTTATGTTCTCAGATAAATTCCTTGCCTCCGAGTACATTACGGAGAAGATCCAACTGCAGGAAGCTGAGAACAGGGATAACGGCACAGGAATGCCACAGCTTTTCTTCCCCCCCCACCCCCAGCAACACCACTCCCAAAAGCCTCACTGCCCCTCCCAGCTCCTTATTGCCATCTTCACAATTTCCACCAACCAACAGACCCTCGGGTGGGACGTGGGTACCAGCGTGTCTGCAGAGACACCAGTCCCTGCCAAGGCATGTGCTCAGGAGCTGATTCCCGCTGCGAGCCATGGGCAGCTGCTCCAGGCTGCTCCCGCCAGCACCACGCTGGCTTTCTTCCTTCCCTGAGCCACATTGCAGGCTCCTGAGCATGTATTTTTTAAGCCATGGCCTCTGGCTGCAGAGCTCTTCCTTCTGGTGTTTCTGGCCATCACACGCCTGAGCCTCCTACAACGCTGAGTTTTGTGGAAGCATCTTTTCCTGGAATCTACACCCACTTGTTTTTTTGGGGTTGGTTTTTTTTTTTTTTTTTTTGGAAGGAATGTTACTTAAATGCATTCATTTCTCTTTCAAGGACAGACTATACTTACAGAGACAGAAGAAGACAGAGTTATGACTGAAGGTAATTCTGGCTCCAACTCCGGGAGTGTAATAGGAACAAATAAGCAATATATTTTCACCCACACACCCCCAGATGTCAGAGGCCCAAAGCCTTTACATCACTGGAAAGATGAATCAGTAGCCCACAAACACATTTGTTTTATTCCATGGCCGGTGCCACACTGGTTTTGGATGTGAAAGCAGCAAAGGACTCTGCAGACACTGCTTTTTCCTTCCTTCAGCCCAGATAAATCATGTCTTGCATGTGGAGGATGTGCAGGAGAACTTATCTTTTGTCCAAACCAGTGTCCAATGCTTGATCTGTATTTATGAGCTAGAATTTCAAAAGCAGTTGAGCTGAGGTGAGCAGGATGGCCAGGGGATGCCCAAGGTCAGACATCAAGCACAATCAGTTTTTATGGGGCCTACAAAAATCATTCCTTCCATTTTTTTGCAGCTTTCCAATCCCTCTAGTGGAGTAAGGAACCAAAAAAAAAAATGTGATTAAAGAGACTTTCATAGATTCAAATGGATTGCAACAGTTTTTAAAAGAGTTAAATTTGCAGCCTGAACTGCTTGGCAGAATCTCTGAAATCATTATTCTTTTATTCATAGCAGTAATAAATAATAATAAACCTAAACATCCCAATGGTCCCCGCACCTCCTGCATCTCCCTAGCTGCAGATCTCAAACATGAATAATAATTACAGCTTATCAAATCAGTCCGTGATTAGAGACAACAGAAAGACATTTCATATTGTTAACTTCCTCGCACAAGAGGGGGAAAAAAAATCAGGTCATGGGGGTATTAAAAATTTATATCATAGCATTTGACTTGACTCATCTCTTAAAAAGGAAAAAAAAGCCAGCATGTATTATGTATTTAGGCAATTCCTTTTAAACCCTTTCCCGACTGAGCACAAGATAGGCCAATAACTTGATGGATGGATGGCTCTACCCAGCCCCGGTGCATATTTTATAGACACGTGCACGTGCAGGCACTTAGCGTGCACTCACACCTATAGAAAAAACCCCTATGCACAGGGACAGAGGTATAAATCTATTTATATCTCTTAGCTGAAGGCAGATGCAGAGCTAACGTTAAAAAAATCTCCCGGCAGATATCATCTTACTGAAATCTGGCAGCTTTAGAAGAGCGACTTTTTTGCCAATTTTTCGTTGAGTCGCAGCAACCTCGGCAGAGCCTGGTTCATTAGCTGCCTTATTGCTGGTTGTGTTCGCTGCTTGGGTTGTTTGTTTCTTTTTCCTTTGGTCATTTTTCTGGCTTTCCTGGTAAAAAAAAACCCAAAAAAACAAACAAACAAAAAAAACCTTGACGAGGGAAGGAGCAAGTCCTCGGTGCCTGCGCGGCGCTTGGAGCACAGATGACTGGGATAAATCAAGTCGAGCGAGAGGCTGAATTTTCAACTCCTCGCTCAGGAGATCAGGAGAGGAAACCAGCTCCTGCTTGGATGGTTTTCAGGCCCCACATCATGCCCTGTTCACCTGCTGGGGCTGCAGATTTGCTCCAGGAGCTCTGACAGCACAGGCAAAGCAGCACATTCCGCACCGAGGGTTTTGTGTGTGCAGCACGTGTGCAAATATGCACCAGCCTTCTGGTAAGAGGGTTTTCCTCAGATGAGGGCTGCCCAGAAAACGAGGGAAAGGTGTTTGTGCCAGCTCTGCATGAAACCCAGGGACCTCAGTCACTGGTCTACAGAGGTGACTCCACTACAGACACGAGGTGGGCAGGGGAGCCCTGCAGAGCTGGTGTCCCTGTGGGCAGGTCCCATCCCATCTATCCCTTCCCATGCCATGCCATCCTTCTCATCCCATCCCATCCCCTGCCCTGCCAAAGCTGTGCTCAGCCACCTGCCCAGTTCAAGGGGAAAAGGCACAGTTTCCATTCCAAGGCTGCCTTGATCCCGGTGCCTGCTACTGTCCATGGAAAAAGATGCCTCCAAAGCTCTCTGGTTACCTCCTGGCTCCTTAAATCCCCGCTTAGAATTTTCTCTAACCTGTTATAACAGTTATAAAACCCAACCAGAATTCTCACACTACTCAGAAAAATACTTCCACGTGTTTCCATGCAAAAATCCCTTTTTATAAGAGACCTAGTTCCATGTCCAAGGGACACATCTTTCCAAAATGCTGCTGGAAACCCTAGGAAGGCCAAGCCTGCAGCAAACACCTCTGTGCACATGCCCTGGCATCAGCCTGCTCTTTTCAGGAGAGGTCAGCACATTTCCATGGATGCGTTAATAGAGCAGCCACCAAACTCTCCTCTAAGATGTTTTGAAAGCTTCAAAAAAAAAAAAGCCCCAACCCTCAAATGTATTTTTTTTCAACATCTGCAGTCAATGAAAGGGGAGATGCAAATCTGCTGTCATTTGCATGCAAATTTTTTTTACATCAAATCAGTGACAGAATGCACAATAAACACACTTTAAATTGAAATATTCCACGTTCACTTCCTCCTAGCCTTGCCTGCAGCTGGGATCCAATTTTCATGCACAGCTCCACACAGGTGACCATCCTCCAGCAGCTCGGAAGCCAGGAAGAGTGTGGGAAAGATGGAATTACAGAGGCAAAGTAATTGCAACCAGCTCATGACTCAAAACCCAGCTGTCACGAGAGAGAGTAAAGATGAAGGTTCTTCAGAAATAAATGCTGTTGAAAGAGTCTGTATCTGCCTCAAAGCCTAAAGCATCCTTTATGATAATCACTAACATTTTGATCACAGGGAAATATGATAATCGGTCGCCCTGGAGTCCACACAATCAGGAATAATAGCAAATATCTCTGTTAGGCTTGTTTGCTACAGGCTTTAAACAGCTCATCCGATGTACGACGGCACTGCAGGGGAGGGCAGTGCCCAGACATCAGGGCCAGGGATGTGCAGCACAGGGGTTTGCTGGGGCCACGTGGGAAGTGCAGCAGAGCTGGGAACTGAGCTGTGTTCCCCCAGCTCCTGCAGTCACACCTTTGTGTCCCATCTCCAGCCAGATGGGGATGGATGCTCATCCATCCCCATCTCCATCCCCAATCTCATCCCCACCTTCAGCTTCTTCCCCATTTCTATTCCCAATCCCATCTCCCTCCCCATTTCCATCTCCATCCCCATCTCCATCTATATCCCCATCCCCAACCCCATTCCTGTCCCCATCCATCCCCAACCCCATTCCCTTCCCCATCCCTGTCCCCCTCCTCACCTTCATCCCCATCTCCATCTCCATCATCTCCATCTCCACCTTCATCTCCACCTCTATCTCCATCTCCTTCCAGGGTCAGGTTGGATCTCAGGCAAAGGTTCTTCCCCCAGAGGGTGGTTGGGCACTGACCAGGCTCCCCAGGGCAGTGGGCACAGCACCAAGGCTGCCAGAGCTCCAGGAGGGTTTGGATGATCCTCTGGGGCACAGGGGGTGACTCTTGGTTGGGGATGGGCCTGTGCAGGGCTGAGGGTTGGGCTGGATGATCCTTGTGGGACCCTTCCAACCCAGCACATTCTGGGATTCTGGGATAGGTGAGCACCCAGCGAGGCTCCAAAGGCACTTAAGGCTGGTTACTGAGATCTCCCGGGGAGTTCAGCGCAGAACCCACCTGCCTTTTAGAAATGAAATGCCTTTTAAAATCGAGCCTCAGGCACTTCTGGACTCCTTCTGAAACCCCAGGTCTCCCAGGACACAGGTGAGCAAGAGCTGCACACACCTTCCCTCCTCAGTCATCATGGAATCATTGAATGGTTTGGGCAGGAAGGGACCTTGAAGATTATCCTCTTCTAACCCCCCTGCCGTGGGCAGGGACATCTTCAACTAGACCAGATTGCTCAGAGCCTTGTCTAACCTTGAAACCTGGACTCTCTTCTGCACATGGCAAAGCCTTCAAGCCTGGGCAAGCAGGGAGGACACACACCAGGAAATTCTCCCCAAAAAGCCATTGTTTTGCCCACTTGTTGCACCACTGCAACCACGGATTTTGTGGGGAACTTCTCCAGACTGCCAGAGTCACTGAAAAAAAGGACCAGAAAAGAAAAGGGTCCCAGGTTTATCTGTTTCTTGTTTTGCTGCAAAACTCTCCACAGAGCCCAAGAAGGAATATCAAGGATAGGGCAGAGAGGTGTGATGGAGCACCACCAGCCCACGTGTGAGCACAGACACGTGTGTGTCTGTGCTTTCCTGAGACGAAACACTATTTGCATTTGCTATGCAAAGCCATTGAAAATACAGAGCTGCTGAGCTGCCTCTTTTCTCCTTTTTCTTTTTGCTCCCAAGAAGTTAAAAAATCTATTTGAGGCCACCTTATGTGGCAGGTGAGGGGATAATTGGCAATGCCTTGGTGGAGCTGACATGTCTGGAGATGCAGCGAGGAGCAGCAGGAACATCTCAGAGACACACAGAAACTTAATAAATGTTGGGGACAAATCTAATAATGGCTTTGCTGTCTCAACAGCTCTTCAGCTGATAGATCTACACATATTCTC